GCCTCCACAACGACAACGTCTACTACGCCGCCCCGGACAGCATGATCCAGCGATACGGCAAGTTCCAGCTCTGCGCCGACGAGAAGTGCACCCCCGGGCAGGCCGTCAACCCCTCGAACGAGATCTACATCCGCGACACGTACGGCGACCTGGCGACGGGCGCAAACAAGGGCCAGTGGCTCAACAACGCGGCCAACGGCAACCACATCGGCCGCACGCCGGCCTTTGCCAGCGCCGGCCACTTCTCCATCAGCAAGTGGCCCTGCGGCAAGTATTGCCTGGGCGGCTTCACCCAGGGCATCGGCCCGGCGTGCCCGGCCGACATTCCCGCCATGACCTTTTACTCGCAGGATCCGCAGATGTGCGTCGCCTTCCAGTTCACCGAGGTGCCTTGCGATCTCAAGGCCGACGTGAACAACTGCATCTGGACGAATGGGGACCAGTGCTGCAACAGGGTGGACTGCAGCGGCAAGAAAGGTGAATAAAGACTCTGGATGCGGTTCACCTTGACTCTTTGGCAAGCCTGGCGGGGGACGTGATGAGAGAATTTGGTAAAGGGTTAGGGTTCGGGTTGCGAGGTGATATGTCACGGACTGTCCTTTACTATACCTTTTTGCGTCTGTTTCTGTCTATCATTTGAGAATAGCTAGCTGATTCAAAACACGTTCTTTATTGCTCCGGTAGACAGTGGAATGATTCTTGGCGTGAGTACAACGTTTGCAAAGAGGTTTGTGTTTGTAGGTGCCAACTTGGTCCTGGTGGGCACGATTGGTAAATTGATCAAAGACAATGCATCTCGAGCTCTGACGGAAGAAGATGACGCGAATGGAATCGATAAGAAGTTGGGTTCTTACGTGTTTTGGGACGCCATGTTTCCTCATGCGACTGAACCGCTTCACAGTCATGTTGAATAAGTCACCAGTTGGACATGACTCAACTTCGGCTCGTTCATGATATAATAAAATCCATGCTTACAACTATACTTGATTTTTAATATATATAGGTCCTTCCGTACACTGTCAATTGTAAAGAGAGAACCATTATTATATTTCAAGCTTTATACTGGGAGCTAGTCAAAGCATCAAGGTTCATGCTACACGGAAAAGGCCGAACAGATCGTGAAGCCCAACAAAGGGACTTCGCCGATACAGGACTTATTAGTTACACAGCTAGAATATATTCCCGGGTAAGGACCCCAGGCCTAGGCGTTCCTTTTATATATATAAGGCGGTTACCCTTCCCTTCTCCACTTATAGTAACTCAAGACCTGAGAGACCCTTCGAGATTATTATTGAATTGAGACCTTTTGCTCCAAGCTTTCCATGTTGAACCCTTGTCACAGTTCAACCTGTTCAAAACTAAATTATTTCCATTTACAGCATATGCAGAAACAACAGTCAAGCCACGCTCTTATATACACGCAGTCAGCACGGCCCGTACAACTCCCAGAAACTTCAAGATGTATAAGAAACCAAACCGGCGCCGCTTCCGCTTTGCATACAACTGCAACTTCCAGTGACGCCCACGACGACTACCTCACACCTCGGTCGTCAGTCCACAGAAAAATATCCACGCCCCCCGTCTTGCACAGTGTTCGGATCAAGAAACGCCTGCGGGAATATGCCCCATGCGCCGTTTCTCGTCGTACCGCACCAACACCAATGGTCGGGATGTTGCCCTATTCCCCAGATCAGCGTCCCATTCACGATACCGCATCCCAAAAGAAAACCCACAGCTAATATTGGTAATGGCGTCTCCCTTGTCAAACCTGAGCCACCCATCCTTGCCGTGCTTTGGGGAAAACTTCCACTTTGCCCGGGCGCTGACTGCCGTTCTCACGGCCCCGTTGAGGCCGCTGGCCACGGGGGCATTCAACATGACAATATCAGACGGGACAGAGGCGAAATTGCCGTCGTGCCAGGCAAACACTTTCCGGCCCTTGTATTGAGGCGGCCATTTAATTCCGGTGAGCTTGGCTCCCATCGCCACTTGCAACTCCTCTAAGCGGTTGAGGGTTACAATCCTTCGCTGCGTCTCGTCTCTTCGAACCTCCCTCATGGCTACGCCAGTTGGCCGGCCGTTGATTTCCGCGCTCTCCGCATGTACTGGATTCGGCTTGGGGGGAACGTTGAAATGCAAGTCGTGGTTGTTTTGTAGGTGCGGCGGCACACGTGTCCCGTACACGACGGCAATGCCGGGAATCACCGGCAACGGCCGCGCATGTCGTGCGAGATGGGCCAACAAGTCATCCGCCGAGAAGAAGATGGTCGCATCGCTTTCTTCCAAAGTGTACCCGTTGCGAACGCAGAAAATACATCCGTATAGCCTGTCGTCGGCTCTTTTCACGGCAACGTGGCTCTTTTGCAGAAACCGCAGCCGAAAATGCACATCGTGCCTGGTCATGGTGCCGCTTTCTACAAAACGTTGGTTAGCAGGAATGCAGAGACGTGGCAGGGTGGCCATTATTCACTTGCCTCTGTTGGATTGGTCGTTTTCGATGTGTTCGTAGTCCAACTCCCAGGCGCAGCTGGTACATTTTGCAACTACGCGCGACAGCGTCCTCTGTACGGGCTTTTGTTTCCGCTTCACGCCGCTGTTTCCCTTGAGAACCTCTTTTGCGCCGGAGCAAAACCCTTTGTACTGGCAAATAGAACTGGATTCATCAATGACACAGTTGCTGGGCGGCAAGCCATCTGCTGGAGTCGGCGGAACGGCTTTGGACGGAGGTTGGCGTCCTGCCAGGGTATAAATCGGCGAGGCTTCCTGGGTTGACACGCTTTCAGAAATAGACAGACGACTTGATTGGGGATAGGTTTCGTAGGCTTCGCGAGACGGTAGGCGCTGGGGCAATGACCAGTGCTGGCCAAGATATACACTTGCTTCCTCCGGCGTTCGAATCGGCAGAGTTGGCCGCCTTGGATTGCCGCGAGTTGACGGGCTTGAGGACGACGCCGAAGAATGGCCACTGCTGAAAGATTGACGCCTCGGATTGCCCACTGCCAATTCCGGGGCTGTGGTAGAGCTCGAGTAGGCCGTGTTTGAGTGTGTAAGACGGCCTGGCTGGCTTTGGCTGCCACGAGATGCCGGACTGCCACCCCATGACGGACTTGTCAATATCAGTGGCTCGGGGTTCGTTTTACCATCTAGCTGCCAAGTATATGAAGACGGCGACATGGGATACAAAGGTGATGTGGGCGGCGATTCCGGGACAATATGCAGCAGCGACTCTGGCTCTGGTATCTTGGACAAAAGCTCAATATTCTTCTGCACAAGGATATTGTAAATCTTGGGTGCGACGTTTCGACAGAGTGCTTGAAGCTTCGTGTACTGTTCTTGGTCAAAGGTCTCTATGGCGATGTAGTCGTCGAAGCTCCAGAGAAGATCTGTAAGCTCCATGTTGTAATTGCCAATGTCCTCTGCAACCCAGTCTAGTCAGTCTATAGCTGCAACGATCCTGTATGGCTCCAGAATTACCATTTGACCTTATGGCCCTCGTGAAAGTGACCCCGTGCTGGCTAGAGATCTTGCTGCACAGCGGCTCAAGACGATTCAACGCGCGCTGGCCCTCTTTGCAGAGAGTCTCGGCCGCTTTGCGCATCGACGGCTGTTCATCGCCAGCATTCTGAGCCGCATCCTTGGCCTTGCTGACAATGTCGCGAAAGGGCGCCAGGAGGAACTCGACCTCGTCGTCGACTTCGTTTTGGAACGCCATGGCCCGGAAGCACCCACCGTCAGTGCGCAAATACGCTTGAACCGAAAAGGACGGCGGGAGTTGGCGCCTCGTGGCTTGGAGCGTTGATTTAATTTCGGCTCGTTGTCACAGTATGCAGTTGAGGGCGACAAAAGTGTAGCAGAGAACAACGTCAAATAAAGTGTGTCGAGCATGGAGCATCTACCAAGTGACGTTGATGACAATGAGCATATATCAGCTGAATCATACTCATCGAGCAAAACAAAGGATGTCGATCGCAGATGCAAAAACTCCAGAGCCATCCGGGGCTCCGCGTTGTTTGCTCACACATCTCTCTGGCAGGCGGCCCTGAAACACCATTTGATCGAATCAAGCCGATGCGTAATCTTTCAACTAGAATGCCTAAGGCAAGGTTCTGTGTTTTTCCTGCACCATAAACAGCAGGTTACTTTACGGGCTGCCGGAAGCAAGGTATGGCAAGGTAGTAGTCGGTACGAAAGTGGTGTACGATAAGGGTCTCACATTTCACTGGCCTGCATGTCATGTCTCGTAATTGGGCCATCTGGATTGATAAGAGCGATTTGGGCCGCATTCGACAACAACGGGGAGCCAATCAAGTTACCGGGCAAAGGACCTTGGTATCGGATTGTAACTGCAGCACCTGCCGACCCCTACAGGGAGTCGAGGCATTTATTGAGCAATGCGAAGAGAGTCACGCTTGAACTGCGACTGCGAGACAAGGCGAGTCCAAACACTATGCCTCAATTGAGCCATATGCGGGGAAATCTTTGTTTTGCCTTGAGTCAATTACGTACGTCCAAGTTATTTGCCCTAATGCGAAGTTCATTAACGTGTAGTATATGCAGACAAGACAATACCAAGACTTCACCCATCAAACAAGCATAAACGCTCAAATTTATCCAAATCATCAGTATTTTGCCGCAATATACTCACTGGTCAACTTGTATAGCCCAACCCTTGGGTTACACCACGGAGTATATCAGCTCTCAAACCAACTCCAGCCCTACCCCGATAAAAGGGCCAAACATGCTTTTGCCCAACTCTATAGAATGCCAGAATCCTACTGATTTCATACAATTCATCAAGCAGTCCGTCCATTGCCGAACCGACCGGCTAATAGCTAACAGGCAAGTACATCTCCTTCCGACAACATATCAGAAAAATATCCAAAACCAGAACCAGTCCAGACAGACGAGAATAAACGCCTTTTTCAACTAGATATTCTAGAATCCTCGTAAACGACACTGGGCATCTAGTCTGAATCTATCCCCCCAGCGCACAACTCCCCTCAAAGAGGCATCAGCCGCACATACCCCTGCCTCGGGGCATGCAACGCCCTCGTCCGGCCCTGGTACCCATTCAACGCGTCCGGAATAGCCTCAAACCTAAAGCTCAGCACCAACAGCGCCAGAACAACCCTCAGCTCCTGCATGGCCAGCTTCTTGCCTGTGTATTGTGTCTCAGTTAGTCCGGGGCACCAAGAAGACGAAAAAACACGCATCTCTCACCAAAACATGCCCTGGGACCCGTGCTAAACGCCAGTCTCCTAAACGCCCTGGGGTTAAAGTTTCCCGCGTCGTCGAGCCACCGCTCCGGGCAAAAGTGCGACATGTCGGGCCCCCAGCCGCGGTCGACATTGTCCTTGGCCGCCTGGCACTTACGGGTCCGCAGCGACTCGGGAATGTCGAAGGGGGCCTCGCCCACGTAGGGGCTGCACATGATTTGCGTGCCCTTGGGGATGTGGTAGCCCAGGACTTGGGTGTCGACGGTGGCGACTCGCACGAGGCGAGGGGTGATGTTGGCTAGGCGGACGCATTCTTCCAGCGTGGCGTCCATGTACGGGATCTTGGCGGCGACGAGGTCCTCTACGGGTGGGAGGTGTAACGGGGATGACTCGGGGAATGCGTCTTGGAGCGCTGCGCGAAGCGTGTTCTGCGCTGTAGGGTTGTTGGTGAGGAACTTGGTGGACCAGGTTAATATGGTTGCTGTTGTCTCGTGGCCCTGGTTCTGAGTTAGAGGCGGTATTTTATTTATATGTATTTTTCAAGTGGCACGTACCGCAATCAGAAACATGAATAGCTCGTCGTGGACCTCTGCCGTTGTCGGAGGCGTGAGAGTACTTGACGTGGTTGATTTTTGAATCGCCAGAGACTCGCGACGCAGGACCAAGTCCATGGCGCACGTGTCTTGGTCGCCGGATACTTGAGACTCGGAAAAGTGTGCGAACCGGTGTCGCGCGTTCTTGATCAGATCGTTTACAATCTGTTCCTTGACTGCCCAGTGCCTCTTGTACGTCGGCAACTGGCGCCAGATCCAATGCTGGAGCGTTGGCAAAGGCGACGAGAGAGACTGTTCCATGGTCATGTTGAAGAACTCGGCGGCAACAAACATCTGCCCGCGCTGCACACGGGGCATCACGGCGGGAGAATCCGTCGACTCGGGCTGGGCCACGGAATCGAGGCCACTTCGAATGCCGGCATGTTCGTTCGACACCCCGTTCAAATCTGAGCCCAATACAGACGCCCAGATAATGTCAAACGTGGCAAGATCAAAGTCCTCTTCTACGGAAAACGGGCGGCCACGGGCAATGGCTGTCTTGGTCTTGAGCAGCTCAACCAGCTCCAAGGCATACTTGTGCATCTTGGGAGCCGCCACCCGACGGAGAAAGTCGGTGCTCATTGTATCTGCCCATAGCCGGCGCTGGGCTCTCCATGCCGATGTGGTTTGTTTCAGAATGCTCGAGTGCTTAAAGAATGGCTTGAAGGCACCGACGGTAGAAGGGGCTCGATCGAATTCTTTGGTACGTGTGGCCAGGATGTCTTCCACCTCTCGATCATCGTCTAGAAAGATGAATGGTCGCGAGAAGGGCCGCAGGAAGACTTGGATGAGGGGCGAGTTGAGTTTGCGACATTGCGCGATGCCAAAGTGTGCCGGGTCCTGGCCCGACTGGATGAACTTGACAAAGTCCGGGACATCTCCGAGGAGACGCTTGGCTGCCTGCTTGCTGTAAGGGATCCCGGCGTACGGTCGTGGGTAGGCGAGGTCCAGGATCCAGAAGAGCAGGCCCAGCAAGACGCAACAGGCGATGTATATGGAGTACATTGTGCGGATAGATGGATGGAGTGTTCAGAGTTGAAAGATGAGAATGGCCGAGAAGGGCAGTTATACGCCCGAGACATGCTGAGAGAGAGGACTAGCTTTGAGGCAGAGGTTGCCATGTAGATGATGTGGTGGCTTTGGAGGCTGCCAAGATGAGGGCGTGATGTTCAGGTGGCGGCGGTACGCGGTGGTGTTGAATGGTCTGCTGAATGCAAGCAGGCTATCTGAAGTGCTTCAGAAGACACCGGTGGAAAAGCCACCAGAGTTGGAAATACATTTTCAACGGTCGATGCACTGTTTCCAGCTATCTAGACAGTGAAGGCGGCCGGTTTTGAGGTGGAAGAGTTGCCGCGTCGGAAACCTGGAGTTGGGAGAAGAGTTTTCCTCCTCTTTATGTATACGTGCCCACAAACAGGAAAAACAAATTACACGTATCCTAGCCACGCGAATTCCAGTCCTGAAACGCGGCGTGCATATTTATGTCTTAGGTGGTCGTCAGACGTGGACAAACCGCGCTGCACCCCGGGGCCGCCCGGTGGCCTGTCTTTGACACGTACAGTAGGAGATCCACTGTGAGGGAAACCTTTGCCGAAGAAGGACGTCTTTGTGTTGCCGGGTGGCGTCATGAAGATTGCGATACGGCCCATGAATGGGAGGGCATCCCATTGTTCTCGAGATGGTGTGGAGACTTCATACATACATACATGTTTGTTGCGGAAGCGACAGACCAATGGGCCGTGTTCCGTGTCAGCCTCTCTTGGATTGTTCCTCTCTGGGCGAATGCCTTGATAAGGCTGAAATGGCGACTCGGCTTATCTTGGAGAGCTGGCCAGCCTTGGTGTCATCACCAGCCATGCGGCGTCATGAGTGCTTGCGCAGCTGATTCTCTCCAACGACTAGGTGATATTTATCTGTTGGTATTCATTTGAGGAGATGTGATGAAGACCATCATGCTCATGACAAGAAAATGTCAGGCGCCCCTTTGATGTGCCTCCGCTTAGGTCGGAAGCGTCAAGTCATGGTCATTTGCAAGGAGGCGTAAGCTCCCTATGCGATCATCGTGACAAAATTTGTGGCAGGAAAAGAAGCTTGGGCCGTAGCCTATCTGCACATCTATCCGGCCCTCACAAAATCCTGCACTCACCATCCACGCCACTGAACTAGGTGGCTTCCTCTCACCGCAAGTGCTCTCGACATGCCGTAATCCAACGCCCTGGTGCCGTGATAATTTGATACCGTTGACCCTGTATACCAGGCGGGGTGGGTTGATTTTTGCATGCGCCACAATTCTAAACAATCGTTGGCCGTTGAGAACTGATACAATGGTGGTCGATGAGAGTGGCGTTGATTCCAGACCGTCTTTTGCTACCGTTTGTTAACTGCATAGCTGTTTGAAATGCTGCATCAAAGCTTCTACGGAGTACACCCCAGGTAGCTGTGTTTCAGGTTGACATAGAGTTTGGTTCCCGTCGGGAGCCATCTCTTGGAAAAGTTTGCCAACCATGTCAAAGGACAAAAGTGTAGGCGCCTCGTGTCACATGCCACAATAATCACAATGCAGTTCAACACCATCTCGCTCACACATTGAAACCTTTGTCAAGGTTTGGGCTGCCTTTCTTTCACGTCCATCTACAATAATACTTTCCCATTGAGGGTTTCATGACCAGAGTCGGCAAAGTCGAAATAAACACCAACGATGAGGCTACCTTTCGAGCATGTTCCAAGTTCCCAACCAAAGGGTACTACACACTACCACAGCTAAAAATCCAAGTTCTTCTACCAATAGTAGTATCATCTTGGTCCAACATTGCACCCGTTCTAGCCACTGGATAATTTCAAAATCCATATCCTGTAATCTTCCTTGACGCCACTCATCCACCGCTTCTCCACCTACAAGACCATCAACATAACATTCACCGGCGAGTAACCACTCGGAGCGGTGTGACTTGCCACAAAGAGCACGGAACCACTGGGGAGGACCGTAACGTAATCTCCTTCCATCAAGCCTGCTGGCCCTAGCCCAAGGTAGCCGCGTTTGATGATGAAAAGCCCTCTGCCAGTGCAGACCCTATTCATAGAGGCACGGAACTACCTACCATGTCCGCTCACGCATAGCCTATCAACACTTAGACTCCCATCCTCAAGATATAGCAGCTATATCCAGACGCAAGGCGCTGCGTCCGGTAGAACAAGCCCAAGTATTCCCAGGAATAGGTGCTGTGATCAGGCACGAGGCAAACCCTCGTCCGCCGGTCATATTTCCGTGAAGGTAATTCCACTTGTTAATCACACAACTAACGAATACAGCTAGCAGGTAAAAATAGGACTTTGCCTGTATTAATTTTTCGCGCGGCGACGAAGCTAGATTTCGCAGAAAAGACAGCTTCCGAAAGATGGGCACTTGAATCCGTCCCGGTCAACTACTAGCACTTCCTTGGGACCAAAAGGTGTGAATATTTGCTTCTACATATCTTGCCGCCGTGACGACACCAATAAGGCTGAACGTCGCGCGTGACTGGTTGAATCGGCGGAGTTGACCTATTATGAGAAGCTGCAAGATGAATCTTGAAAGAATTTTCTAGACGAGTCAGATATAAAAGAAGACATTAATTGGATTCATGACCCGGTAACTCGCAATAGCGCACGGGACCCTAACCCCGACCCTGGTCTTGTCTAACCCTCACGATAGTGAGCTCAGCACTATTCTCAATGAGAAGTTCCGCCAATATCTTGCCGACGGTCTTTAAAGTCTATGAATTCTTGTCCGAATATGATTGTCTTTCGAGTTTATGTTACCGCCTTGCATTAAATCTGCCGCACAATATCGACTCGGCGGACGTCCGCTTCCGCATGTAGATTACCCCTAAGCCAAATCATAAGCGGAGCTGCCAAGCTGCCAGTTCGGCCGACTCCATACGGGAAAAGCGGGGACCAAGCGGGTACTTGGCCGAACGCAACCGCATCTCAACACTAGACCGTATCACTTGAGCCGTCCTCAACAAAAATATATACATTGCCCTATTCAATCATTCATCACTCATCACTAATGAATCCGCCGTTTACCACCGCCGAAAAGATTCTGTTGCTCATCCGCCTCATCTTCTTGAGTATAGTGGCCCCCTCTCGCGGCCAAGCACAGCATCACGTCTAACGTCAGGCAGCACCATGGACTCTATTAATATACATCTTGTGCGCCGTTTCCACCTCGCTGCATAGGGATCTTCCACTGTGGCCCTTTATTCGCTGTGCTTGTCTCAAAGTCGTCTTGCAGACGTTTACAGGCCGCAAGACGACGTACCTGTCACCGCCTACAAGAAAGACCTACACCACCTGGGTTCGGCAAAAGTTGTCGAAATCTCACAGCGACGCATCTGCTCAGTTGCTACCTCACTCATGGGCTTTCAACCAGCCACTTGCTGGCAGGCCAACTAGATGGAGCACACATCATTCTGGCCATTCGCAGTGGAACTCGTGTACCAGCGGTTTGCAGTTGTAACACAGAGCGGTGAACTTGTAATGGCTTCACAGTTATAAGCTAACATCACTATCCTCGATATTATGTAGCAATTTGAAATCTGCAACCACTCGACCAAACAAATACAGACTACCCAGATATTGTACCGTTTCCGCTACCTCCACCGAACAAAAACTTGAAATCCTGGCCATGCGGAGCTTGGAAGGACACAAACACGACCATGACTGTTGTGTAAGCTGCGGTTGCTAAAAAAAGGTCGGTCCGGGACGCCATCGTCATGAATTTAACTGCGACTGCAAATAGCACAATGAGTCCTGATAACAGACCGAGGTCGGCAGCGAAGCTTCCTTGCTTGATCCTGAGGTAGTATAAGCCCCAGATGCCACCAATGACCAGGACCACCGCGAGTATAACGACTAGTATGGTCACAACATTGTCGATGACGTGCTCAGGCACACGCTCGATTTCCTGGTATGGAAAATTCTTGTCCTGAAGAGAAATCAGCCCACGCACTGGCGTGCTCAGTTTAACGGATGCCATACCTTGAAGACAAAGAGCCAATTCCAAGTTGCAACCCACTTCGTCAAAAGGTCGGCACCTGCTATTCTGCCGACCGCAACAAGGTCACTGGCAGGCTCTTTCCGAGGAACCTGGGTATGCGGGACGGTTTCTCCGTCCGTCTGTGCTCGTCGAGGCCTTTGGTCCTGAGCATATATTTTATGCATCGACGACCCCCCGAGGAATTGTTGAACTCCGGTTTTATCCTCCTCGTCCCCTCCCAGTACTAAACGTATAATCCAGGCCCAAAACTTCACCGTCACTCTCCGAATCTTTCCGAAGATGGTGGGCCGAATCCAAACAACAGACATTTGTTTCCATAGCCAGTCTATGGTCATTCGCATTGCTTTCTTTACCCAGATCCAAACCTTCCGAAAACTTGCGTGCTTGCGTACCGGAACTACCCCTGCAATCCAGTCGCTCACGACTGCTTTGGTTCGGTTTGCTGGAGGTTCAAGTTTTAACATTTCTCGATATCGCAAAACAGCTTCTTCTGTTCCGCGTTAGCTCGCGCGTTATGAGATTCCAGCCATACGTACGGTAGATCTTCAAGCACTCCTCTATTGCCAGTGCCAACTCCCATCTGGATTTTATCAATTCCAAGGTTTGGCGACCGCAGCCCACATCATTCTTCAAGTAAATGTTACTCTCTTCGGCTGGAATCACTACATTGTTCCTAAGGCTATGAAAGGTGGACCAGGGAGCAGGAGCGCCTGTACTTGGTGGCTCTGGCCATTTGCCTTTGGGCCCCGGGTGTATTTCCTCTCCGCCTATATGGCCAGTTTGACTCTCGTGTTGAACCTTTTCTGTAGGCATCAGTTCTTGTCGGTACAAATGCACGAGATCCAGTCTTCTTTTTGTCCAGTAACGCAAGGCTGCCTGCGGGAGGAGAGGGTTATGGGCAGGGGTTTCTCCGGTTTCTTGGTATGTACCGAAGACGGCAAAATCTTCCCAGGACCTTGCTGCTGTGCGGACTGGCTCGTTTCCCACGTCCTTGTCGTCGTGATCGAATTTTTCTTGCAGGTCTCCTAAAGCGGCAAGCCGTGCCTCCAGGTATAGAAGGTTTCTCAATGCGAGCTTGTCAAATCGGCGACATATGACTGTTGTCTTGGATGGGTCGCGCGATATGAAGTCCGATGTTGCGGGAAATCCGGGAAGCAGGTTCATCTTTTTAGACGAGCCAGTGGCCGACTCGGCTTTGCCCTTCTCTGGGTCCTTCTCGGAGACGACCATTGCAGCTATATTCTAAAAGTTGACCAATTTTGCGTCAGTATATTCCGTCAGCCCGTTGACTGCTGCCTTGTGTCCAGTAGACGTAAGGAGGGAATATATGGATAGGTCAACACTGGGCTGTAAGCGGCAGTCGTTGTGTTTGCACACACGGATCAAAATCATCGCAAGCCACAGAATTCGCCTAAGCGGATGAAACTTGCCGAAGGTCTTGGAAAGTTGCGGGACAAGTTGATTTATGCAGACAGTCGTCTCTCAGCTCGGCGTCTGATGCGCGAAGTTTAGCTCCACTCGCACGATATTGTAACTTTGCTGCCTCCCAGCTCGGCGTCTGACGCGCACATGCTGGTGCAGTTTGCACAACATCGTAACTTTGCTGCCTCTCAGCCTGGCGTCTGAATTCACTCGAGGTGGTCAGTCTAGGGCCGGCTGACAAGCATTGACCCGACCATGAGAACAAACATGATCTAGAAATGAAGTTTTCGGGGAAAGAAACAGCGATTCAATTGGCGGGCGACTTCGGTCCTGTCTTTTCAGCCAGCTCAGCCTCTGGCTGAACCGCAACTCCACGACCAAGACGAAAACGAGCAAATACCAAAACAGCGCACTCAATGTATAAGATTCACATGACACCATTCGCGTCTTTTTTTCTCTACCTTGATGATAAGGAATACTCAAGTCCTGCGGGAGACAAACAGGGGCTTTACCATTTGGTGTTCTGAACTACAACAGTGGCTCAGCCGTTTTCTCCGATTAACCCGACATTTTCACCCCTCTCTCGACATGGTTGCGGCATTTCACTTTTCAGGGCACAGCGAAGAGACGGAAAGATTCACGCGACCACGGCTTCGGTCAATTTTGGTATAGAGCTGGCTCTTGGAAACAGAGAGATGGTCCAGTACTGATGCAAAGTGCAGGCACCCGTTAATACTTCCCGTAAAAGTGATGCAAGTCAGAGCCATCGGCGTCCATGTCACTCACAAAAGTCAGATTCACGAGGAACAGGCTCAGCATCGGCAGACAAGAGCTTTGGCCTCGTACGCAATGCAGGGCTCTCATGTGACATCATTCTCAACGGAAAACCACATCTGGCAATGGCAGACAATCAGGCGAGCGCAAACATCATGAGCCTCGAGTTTGCGAGGCAAGAGCGGATAACGGTGGAGGAATCGGTCGCAGTACCCTTCATACTCGGCAACGGGTCTGTAGATTACTCGGTTGGCCGCGCGACAGCTGACTGTGCTCTTCCATTTGCTCCCCATTTCTCGGGGATTCGCGGATTCTATGTCTTCAGCACATCCTCTCAGCCACTCATACTTGGACGCGCATTCCTTCTTGAAACCGGCCTGACGAAATGTCCACAGAACCTCATCCGATGCACTACGATCAAGGGTGGTCTGTCGGCGCCGCCAACGTCTCCTTTAAGTCGTATCGAACGCTCCAGATGGCAAATAAAGGCAGTTGTAAAGCACGCAAGTGTGACTCATCAGACCTCTGTTGTGCCTGACAAAGGGTCGGATTTCGATATCATGTCTTTGGCATACGCTCAAAGGATTAATGCCGGCATGACGCCCTGCCAACGGGACCAAGACATTGTTCTCTTGGCCAACGGCCGTGTTGCAAGAGTCATGGGTTCTGCGAAGGTCTCCATCCATTTCATCGGCAAAGCAAGTCGCTTGGGCCCTATTCCAGTGCGTTTTGTCATAATCGAAAACCTTCCATTTCATATTGCCCTGGGCAATCCTTTCCTCGAGAAGTATCGAGTATTCGATCGTGTATCCGAGTTTCAGTGGACCCATACTACTGACGACAATGCGCTGCTATGCTCATGTCTTAGGTTCAGTGGCAGTAAGTCAATTACCGGAGAAAGGATAATGTCTACCCATTCGCCAGAGGCGATACAACGGAGCTCAGCTTACTGGTTGATAGAACAGCCCAAAGAACCCATTTCCGAAATACAGGATTTTACAGATCGTGCGGTCTCGAATCGGGAATATGGGTACAGTTGTGAAAACAGCCAGCAAAATCTATTTGCAAATAATCAGGAAACCCCGGCAGATGCTGAAATCCATCCGGGCAGAGCAAATACAAATAATCAGGAAACCCCAGCAGATGCTGAAATCCATCCGGGCAGAGCAAATACAAATAATCAGGAAACCCCAGCAGATGCTGAAATCCATCCGGGCAGAGCAAATACAAATAATCAGGAAACCCCAGCAGATGCTGAAATCCATCCGGGCAGAGCAAATACAAATAATCAAGAAACCCCAGCAGATACTGAAATTCCTACGGGCAGAGAAAATACAAATGTTCAAGCAAACCCAGCAGTTACGGGAGGCCGTACAAATACAGCAAACGCAAATAACCAAGAAGGGGAAAGGGGGTCGCGCTGGCGGAGATCCCTCATGCTATGGCGCAGGAGGGCCGGGTGAAGGTAACGGTGAAGGCAAGGGGACATACTGTTAAGGAAAGGGCAAGCGCCAGGTTGAAGGAGTAGAAACAGATGAACAGGAATGTTTGCTGGCTAACTTGAAAGAAAGGAAGCCTTTGCAACAAAGTCAATGGACGGCTGGAACGAAGAGGCAAATCTGATATCCAGAAAACTAAGGGACAAAATTATATTACTTTTTACTTCAACTTGAGTGTTAAACTTTTAATAGTTAGTTACTAGTATGCTACCTTTAACTAATATTCTTACAAAAGTTACTCTATACACCTAGTATTAATTTCTTATAACATTATATATGTGGGGTATAATTATATATATTAGTAAAATTTACAGGAAAGAAACGGCTGCTAAGGACGCGACGACTGTCGGACTGAAATAGTGACCACTTGACCCCGCAGGCAAAAGGGAACGTCAACTGCTCTATTAATTGACACTGCAATTGAGTGCTATTAGTGACCATGTATTTTCAGTTGACTTTTCTGGTTGACAACGACTGTAATTACCACCTGGGTATTCCCTTTAACAGCCGCGGCCCGACCTGTTCGAACACTACTCCGACGCACGCCACTCTCAGCTGAGATATGCAATGTGCGAGCAGATGATTTGGATTTGCTAGGTTTGGGTCCTAGGCAATGTCTAGTAGCTCCTTGCAGCTGGCCGTCCGGGTGAGGAGGTCATAACGGGCATTCTATATCGCTCATTGGAGCCAAACAAGTACGTCCTGTCTCGTTTCTTAAGGCCTCACCGCGACTATATTTCACCAAGTATTTGCTAGATATATCTCATCGCCAACCGATTCAACAAAATGCCCTTCAGAAGCTAGCTCATTGACCACACTTCGCGCGGCTGCATCTCTCTCCCAGGCTTCTTCAATCTATCCATCTCGCCGGGGCTTACAAGTCTTATTCTCTGACGATTTAATACTTGATGTCAAAAGGTCCTTTTAATATTCCTTCCCCAAAAAGAAGAGCGAGGTGTTTCAAGCAACTATTATTACTAGAGGTAAAAGAGCTTATGTATCACTTACTTATTATACCACTGATACGCGGAATAATCCGGCTTTGGACCAAAAAAAAATGCTAAAAAAAATGCGGCCAGTGTGACTCGAACACACGACCTTCAGATAGGCATCCGTAGGATTGAAGTAAGGCTTCAGTCTGACGATCTCCCAGCTAATCTATGGCCGCAGATACTCCGGAGCTATTTATTTTAATCTATATGGCTTGCAAAACTCTGCATGCAATGTGTATTTCATGGTCCCCACATCATCGCTTGCCGTCGCAAGCCTGGTGCAAAAACATGGCAACACAATTCACCTCTTTTGATGTGACACACTCGCATTAACGTTGAGCGAAAATCGCCATCAATTGCTATTACTATGCAGTAGCTACTAACCCCCAATCTTGCCTTCACCCGCAGCAGACGCTCGGCTCCTCTATGCCGCGAATCTGCTTGTCCTCCTTTCCGCCATCCACATCCATCTTCACCTCCAACCAGTCACACACAAACTTGCCCAGTCCCGCGCCGATAAAGATGCAGATAATCACATAGCCGTTGAAGTACATGGCGAGCAGCATGACAATGTAGGCGCTGCCAAAGGTCAAGGCGTGCAGGACCGACCTCGTCAGTTGCTGGAGGAACGTCGCGCGGAATGTAATGACGTGCGGGCCGAAACTGGTGCCGTCGACGTATCGGCGAGCTGATTCGCGCCGGAACTGGCGCATGAGGAAGGCGTCGTATTCTTTGCCGAGGCGGCGGAAGAACTCGACGAGCATGACGAGCAGGATGACGCCGATGCACGTGGCCGCGAACATGCCCTGCGTCGTGATGTGCCAGTTTGGCGTGAGGAAGCAGGCGTCTATGGTGTACCAGTTCCAGAGCATCTGGTTCGGCTTGTTAGCTTGACGGGACGACCTGGCGAGGGCTTGGTGAGGCTATTGGTACCGATATTTTGCACGACGAGCCGTCGTCGCCGCCGCCGTGGCTGCCGTGGTCCATGGTGATGGTGGTGGTGATGCTGATGCTGATGGAGGATTGAGTCGACGACGAGTAGTGCGCGCACAAACTGAACCTGTGGTTGATTTTTCAGAATCAAAAAATCTTCGACAGAGACGGTGCCGCAAATGTCTTGGTCGAAGGAGCCGTCGTCGGTTAATTAAAGGGCGGAGGCGAGTCGGTCAGGACCAGCCTTGTCGGATGACGACGAATATTCTCAACCACCTAGACGAGCAGAATGAAACCCGCGCTGCGCTTGTTTGTCATTCCGGACACAGTATAGCCAACCTGCCAAGTCCGTCGTCAATGCACTCACGGCCCCGGCAAGATTCGATATCGACGCTAAAACGCACCGGTCCTTGGATCCAAGATGGAACTGATTCGCTCTAGTCTTGACGATCCTCACGGCGCAGCTCCGCAAAACTTGCTCATTCCTGCTCAACCACGAATGCACGACAACCTTGATGATCTTTAACAAACCCGTTGCTCGGTCGTCGGCCTTGGGAATCAATTACCTTTTCGTCGCTCTCGATTGGACCCTGTATGAGTGAGTTTGATGCAATTTCTTCAAGGGGGAGGGGAGACCCAAAGAGACGGGAGATATCCCTGTCCGGGCCCGGCTAGGTTCAAGCTTATTTCGGAAAGAGTATAACTGTGTCTCTGCTCGGGCTTCCATTTCACTTCTCTTTCTTGTTCTCTCGTCGATTACAACCCTCCCCTGTGCCACCAGACGTCACGTCCGGTTATCAATCTGCACGCCATGGTGGAACCGCGACATATTCAGAATCACTCCGAGGCCAGTGACACCCAGGCCCATTGGGGGTATCCCGATCGCGTGGTCCCTTGCAAGAATGATGCCGGGTCGTGCGCCTATCTGGACGTCGTGTATCTTGCCCATGACCTGGGCATGCTGTACATGGGGATCCTGTGGGCGACGATATTTGGCGTCATCTTCCTCTGGGTGTTGCTGAGGAGAGCCAGCCGACCGGCCGTTCAAGGGACACTGCAAACTTCAAAATCGGACCAGGGCGCATTGAGCAAATTACGGAAAACGACGGCCGTGGCCTCGAGGCGATTCTTGCTACGCGACGCAAATCACTTTTTGTTTGGTCGCACCACGCGCTTCCAGGTGGCCGTGTTGGCTCTCCTGTCCGGATACCTCTTCATATGGAGCTTCCTGGGCATCACGTACAACACATGGGTCACGCCCGTCAAGAACATGCCCGGGGTGTACAACACGCGAACGAGTTTGGGCCCTTGGTCCGATCGAGTGGGAGTAATCGCCTACGCACTCACCCCGCTGTCCATCCTGCTCAGCAGCAGAGAATCGCTGCTCTCCGTCCTGACGGGCGTGCCGTACCAGAGTTTCAACTTTCTACACAGATGGCTAGGATACATCATTGTCATCCAGTCTCTTCTTCACACCATTGGATGGCTCATCATCCAGTTGAATCTGTACCAGCCCCAGCCCAAAGTGAGTCTGGAGTGGATCGTGCAGCCATACATCATCTGGGGCATCGTGGCCATGATTCTGCTTCTCATCATGTTCATCCTCTGCACGCCGTGGGGGATCCGAGCCACGGGATATGAATTCTTCCGCAAGGCGCACTACGTCTTGGCCATGGTATACATTGGCGCATGCTGGGCACACTGGAACAAGCTGGAGTGCTTCCTGGTCCCGGCCTTTATTCTATGGGGTGTTGACCGAGGCGCGAGATTTGTGAGGACCGGCCTGTTGCACTACCACCCTACTTCATCGGCGTACGCGGGATTCAAGCCAGCCCAAGCGTTGATTACGCGATTTCCCGACCCGGAACACGGTGAGATTGTAAGGCTGGACCTGGAGAACGAGCAGGATGCGTGGAAGATTGGCCAGCACTACTATTTGTGCTTTACCGAGTCAAGCATCTGGCAGTCTCACCCGTTTACGCCTCTGAATGCACCCGTCGTAGAGAAGGGCCTGGTGAAGCACTCGTACATTCTGAGAGCAAAATCCGGCGAAACGAAGAAACTGGCCGAGCTGGCCGCAAAGAAGCTCGCCACCAGCCAGCACGAGACCGTTGCCACCCCTGTCCTTCTCACGGGCGGCTACGGGGAAGACCTCCTCGAGAAGATTGACCGAGATACAAACATCATCTGCGTCGCTGGCGGCACAGGCATCGCCTTTGTCCTCCCCGTCCTGCTGCATCTAGCGCGTGCCAGATCGCCATCGGACCGCAAAATCGAGCTCATCTGGGCGATGCGGCACTCCCGCAACGCAGATTGGGTCAAGGACGAAATGGCTGTTTTGCGCAACGCCCAGAAGGAGTTGAAGCTGACAATCTCGCTCTTTGCCACAAGAGACGCTGCTGGCAGCGGCAAAGAGAGCCACCAACCGGAAGATGCGGACATTGTCTCGTCCTCGTCAGACGACATTTGCCCGTGCGACGAGAAAACAACTTGTCCGCCGGGGATTTCTGTGGACAAAATCGGCGACGGGGCGGATGATGAGAGTCGACATCCGGATTTGAGCAGGATGGTTGGTGCGTTTGTGGAGGGCACCGTCGCAGGCAGGACAGTCGTCTTTGCGAGCGGACCCGGAGGCATCATTACAGATCTGAGAAGCATAGTTGCCGGCTTGAATGTTCCCGGGAAGGTATGGAGGCGGGACGACAGGTTTGATGTCGAGTTGGTTTGCGACGACAGATTAGAATGGTAGCTTTCTTAATATCCGAGTGTTTAATGCCCTGAGCTGGCAATGCTGTCTGTCATCTCGACTTGCGAATTCATAGCTGGAGCTGAGGAGTCATCTGATCAGAAAACTCGAAAGGGTTACATTGGTTAATACTCACAATTACATGTCCAATTATGCGACTGGCTCTGGCTATAAGTACCTGCAAGAACGCAGTTCATCCTCACAACAAGTCAACAAATTGCCGGTAAACCGACCGCGTCGCTAATCTGGCAACAAGCTTGCGCAAGTCTATTAGCAAGACTACAAGTATGAAA